AAAGAAGCATAGGAGAAAAGAGGACAGTGATGAGACCTAATCTACTGGATTGAAATGATGCTATTAAAAAGTAGTGGGATTGACATATACACACCTCTATACATAAAATAGATAACTAATAAGGACATACTATAGAGCACAGGAAACTCCACTCAATACTCTGTTATGGTCTATGTGAGAAAAGAATCTAAAAAAGAGTGGATATATGTATATGTATTACTGAATCATTTTGCTGTATATCTGAAACTAACACAGCATTGTAAATCAGCTATACTTCAATAAAAAATTTTAAAACAAGAGTAGTGGGAGATAATCTGGGTGGTGAGGGTAAATCAGATTATTAATGATTATTAATCAAGCATAATAATTTAGATTTAGAGTGAAAACAGAAAGCTATCAGAGTTTAAGTAAATGGATCATATAACTGAAATGGAATTTAAGCAGTATCCTGTTTGAAAGCCAAAGAGAATTGAAGATTTGCATTGGAAACGGCCAGTAGAGTTAAATTATTTTCCTACAATTGAAAAGCCACGTCAAAGTCCCATCAAAGGGTATATTCTACTGGGAGTGAGTCATATCCAAGGCAAGGTCTTCTATCAGCATGTACTATTTGTCTAGCCCTGACAAATATTATTACCATTTCTACTGAACAAAGAAAGAAACTCAAACACATGAAATTGCCAGGAGAATATAGGCTTATATAGAAGTTCCTGTTTCCGGGTCTGCCTAATTTACTTTGGCACTATTTTCATAGAAGTCAAATATTTGGTGCTTTGAACAAATACCAGGGTGAGGCCTGTACAACACAATTTCCACAGTGTAGACTGTTTGGCTTTATCTATTTACAGTTTTCAGATAGGGATTACTTCCCTACTAGGACAATTAGCAGATACAGAGAATGGAGTAAAAAGCATTAAAATAGGTATCAGAAGTTTAACTGTATGACCCTAGGCAAGCTGCTAACTTTTTTGAGTCTTAACAGTTCTTGTCTATAACATTGTGGCTCATGGTAAAACCTCATAATGTTTCTATATGAAGAAATGGGATAATATATTATAATGTTGTCCATTTATGTTGTTTAAATAAACAGCAGAATCTCAGGCTCTTACAGCCAATAGGGATGGTTGATGATACAAGAAAGTGAAGTTGCTCAGTTGTGTCCAACTCTTTGTGACCCCATGGACTGTAGCCTACCACGCTCTCTGTCCATGGGATTTTCCAGGCAAGAGTACTGGAGTGGGTTGCCATTTCCTTCTCCAGAAGATCTTCCCAACCCAGGGATCGAACCTGGGTTTCCTGCATTGTAGGCAGATGCTTTTCCATCTAGGGATCGAACCTGGGTTTCCTGCATTGTAGGCAGATGCTTTTCCATCTGAGCCACCAAGGAAAAGTCTCAGCAAATCAATGACTTTGTCAGAGGGGACACTTTTGATAATATCTACCCTGGAAACTCCTCCTTTGTTACTAAAAGATAGCATGGAGGGTTAGAACTCCCTCCAAAATATGCTTGTGAGGTCAAAAGTGCCTCCTGGAAGGAGACACTGAGAGGGAGAAAATATGGTCTTGATAAAACATACAACCACAGCAGACTTGTTACAGATCATACACAGTAATTTCTAAACTCCTCTTGGTAGAAATGGTACTAACCTCCCAGTCCAGAAGTATTGCTTGTAACTTTTGCTAAAATCTGACCAGTTAATAAGTCACCTGTGGTTGTGAAAATTCTATATTTCATAGTTTCTCTTAGCTGTAAAATAAAAAATTATAATATCAATCTAAGAAAAAAACATATGTTTCTCTTATCTGTAAAATAAAAAAATTATAATATTAATCTAAGAAAAAAATATGTTGTTGTTTAGTTGCAAAGTTGTATCCAACTCTATTGTGACCTCATGGGCTATAGCCCACCAGGCTCCTCTGTCCATTGGATTTCCCAGGGAAGAATACTGGAGTGTGTTGCCACTTTCTTCTCCAGGGGATCTTCCTGACCCTGGGATCAAACCCATGTCTCTTCCAAGTCTCCTGCATTGCAAGTGGGTTCTTTATCACTGAGCCACCTGGGAAGCCCTATATATATCATTAAAGTGACTTAGTAGCAGTAGCAGCAGCAGCAGCAACACTACCTTAGTAGACACCTTACACGTCTGAATTTGTATTACCCTTCTCTGAGAGGGGCCTTATATTGTTCTGCTTCCACACTCCCACATTTTTTCCCTCTTCTGTACTAGCTTATCCTGAATTTAAAACTGAATTGTTTTTTTCCTTTGTATTAGTAGTCAAATCATGGATATATTTAAATTATTGGGAATATTGTAGAGGAATTTTCCCCCTTTATTCTTAACAAAAGAACATATTTCTCAACTAAAACTTAGGTAAATGAGGGTTGACAGGCAGTAGGTAAAATTATTTCTATAATAATTAAGTGGGAATTCACTGGTGGTCCAGTGGTTAGGACTCAGCGCTTTTACTGCCATGGCCCAGGTTCAATTCTTGGTCAGAAAACTAAGATTCCATGTCAAGTCCTCTAAATCATGCAGTTTTGTTGCATGTTTTCCAGCTGATTTGATCCCTTTTGAATGCCCTGATGTTTCCAGCGCTTAGAGGAGGTGCTCACCAGCCAGCTGGTTTTGTGGAAACTTCCATCTCTATCCTACTTTCCCACAGAAAACTGACCCAGATAACAGCTCCTGTTTGGTTCTATCTCTCATTATTGACTTATTTTCAGCAAATATGGTTTTTCTACTTGTGTAGCTGGTAATGGAAATAATCTGGTAGTCTGTCAAAGAAAAAAGAAAGATATCAGTTCCTAACTTTCTCTCTTTTATCTACTGTTGCCTTGAGTTGACTGATAACATTGTCAAAAATTTCTTCCCCATTTTTGTGGGAGCATGAATTTCCAGCCAGGTAAAACCCATTTTAGGTTGGTTTTGGTGACATTTGGGAAGAAATGTAGCCAAACCAAATCTTTGTATTAGAAACTTACTTTGAACACTTATTTCTTGCTAAGTTCGTTAACACTCGTCATGAAAAGTGACTCCAGACGGGTGCAGAGAGCCACCCTCGCTGAGAGGAAAGATATTCTCCCCTAAATTTAGGGGAAACAGTCAGTCATTTCAATTCAAAGCTAAACCTTAAATAAAATAAAATAAAAAGATTTCAAGGACGCAATTAAAAGGCTATGCAGATTTATCTTGTCAGGGCCACGAGCCACGCCTCCGAGGCTCGCTGCGCGCACCCGCAAGCCGAGCAGTAACTGAAAGGTCGTCGTACGGGGAACTACTCGGATAAAGTGACATTCCGCTTTTATTGACTGTTACCCTTATCCAGCCGGCCTCCCCTTGCACTAATCTTTTGCAACTAAAGTCTCTCATGTTTCCCGCTGAGACAAACTAAACTGTAAAGCTGGGGCCCATCCAATGGGAAGGCGGCAACCCACCCCCACTTCCGGGTCATTTCGGGGTCGAGGCTCCTCCATCGCCCAATCGAGAGTTAGGGGCGGGGCTGCGTCTGCGCGTCTCCAGAGCGCAGGAGCCTAGTTTTGTAAGCTTTTTCTCGAAACTTGCTCGTTTCGCGTTGTGTGAGGGTTTCTTCCCGCTGGTCCGGAGTCAGGAGACTGAGTTTGGTATCACAGAAAAATTCTGGCTTCAGGCAGGTAAGTCCCGCGGTTGTCGTCCATCTCTTATTGCCTGCGTTCACGTGGAAGAGGAAGGCCTACCCTAGGCTTCACCAGTGTTCTTATATTTTCTCTCTTACTCTGAAACCTCGCGTTCCGCGGGCCAGCCTGAAGGGGTGGAGCTGCTTTGGTTACTGTGACAACTACACGACGCCTAAATGGCTTTAGAATTTGGGTTGGGAGAGCTTCTTCTGGAAGGACTCTTTAACGTGTGAGTCGGGTTCAAAACTCATGTTATTTCAAACACGTGCTTTTAATCTGATTTTGAAAGGTTTGTTCGGTTGGTGATGTGGAGAAGCCAAATTTGAGGCAAGATTACTAGTTGGAAAGCTAATGCAGCCACCCAGACACCGTTTGAAGGAGTCCTGAGCTGGGGGAGTGGTGTAGAGTTGCGGAGCTTGGCGAAGATGAGAGAAGCACTAAGAGGTAGTGCCAGCAGGACCTAAATTGGATATGTGGAAAGAGGTCGAGGAGCCCTGAGCATCTTGAGGATTGAGCCCAGGCTCAGCTTGGCACGAAGCTGTTTCTGTGGATTCTCTTCCCGCCACCTGCTTTCCGTCTCCCTCTTCCATGAACAACCCAAACTCTGAATATTGTCCTCACTTTTTTGTGACATTGGTCCAGGTTACTTGCAGTTTTTTCGACATGCAAATGGAAGAACATAACAGTACTCACCTCCAGATTTCTGTAAGGATTAAATTAGATACTTTGTAGGCTTGGTGTATAGAGAGGACTGAATAAGAGTGATAATTACTACTGTTGTTATTGTATTTCTCATATTGTCTTATTATACATCATTTGTTCTTTCCCGGTGGCTCAGCGGTAAAGACTTTGCCTTGCCTTTGCAGGAGATGAAAGAGATGCAGGTTTGATCCCAGCGTCAAGATGTCCTGGAGTAGGAAATGGCAACCCACTCTAGTACTCTTGCCTGGAAAATCCCATGGACAGAGGAGCCTGGCAGGCTATACTCCTTGGGGTCCCAAAGAGTTGGACACGACTGAGCACTCGCCTTTACCTTATACATCATTTATGTTTCTTCCTCTAGATTAGTTTTTCTTTTTTAAATTAAAGAGTTAGTATCTTATCTATCCTTGTATCTTCTTGAAATATAGTAGTAGTTGAAGTAGTCAATAGTTTTTAAATGGGACATTCATTTCGGTTGCTGCTGACATAATTAAATTAATTTCTTTAAAGGAACTACCAGGTGCAGTTAATTTTGTTGATCATTGATATTTATTAGATAATAGTGGCTGTCTTTTTGTATAACTCAGAAACCTGTGGATTAAGATGTGTAGAAAGTAACTGATATTTTCAGTCTGGAATAGGTATGACTGATTTCAGTGAAGAATTGGTAAGACCCACGACAGAGGATGAACAGGGGGAACCGAGTGTGCGCTCTGGTTCGGGAATGTGTTTCCCTTGGCTCCAGAATCATATAGAATCCATAGGTAAGTAAAATAACATACCGTTTCAGCTTTAATGCAAGTAGATGATAAGATTCAATATGGATACAAAATTGGATAACCAAGCTGGTTCAATTTTCTTTTTTTTTTTTCCATTTATTTTTATTAGTTGGAGGCTAATTACTTTACAATATTGTAGTGGTTTTTGTCATACATTGACATGAATCAGCCATGGATTTACAAGTATTCCCCATCCCAATCCCCTGGTTCAATTTTCAAGATAAGAATATATGAGGATTTTTTTTTTTTAGGCAGTTAATAAAAAAGAAACATGAAAAAATAGATTCTGTTTTTCTTTTAGAATTCTTTGAATTAATAACCGTCTATATTGTGGTAGACACACTTTTTTTTTCTTCCTGTAACTCATACTGAGCATTAACTATATCCCTGGCATTGGCTTAATATTGGGGACAGATTTGTTGAAGAAGATATAGCCTCTGATATTGAGGAATACATACCAGAAATTTCTGTTGAATTGCATTGAAATAAGCCCTAATAGAATTGATCTATTTCAAGAAATTTCAAGAAAAGACTATTTTCTTCTTTGTTCCTCTAGTGTAGAAATAAACAAGTTGTTCTATGGGATAATTCCTTATCAGAATATATTTTTAAAAGATCAGTTATCTGTGTGTTGTCATGAACCAGCACTTTTCTAATTGCTCACAAATATATCTTTCTTAGCCTAGCTTTCTTTCCCCTTGACTGTGAGTCCCTGGCTCCTAAAATTTAGCTCTTATTTCTTTATTTTTTAATCTGAATATTATCTCATTTAATTATCTCAGTAAATTAATTCTTGGTAAATATAGGTACCAGGCATTTTACAGATGAGGGAACTTAATTTCAAAGAAGTTAAAATTCTAAATGCTGGTATCAGGAGTCAAACCCAGGTCTGTCTGTTCTCAAAACCTGCTTTGAGATACATATATTTTAAAAAAAGGGAAAAGTGCCTAGCATAGCCTTGTGCATAGTGAGTGTTGAAAATGTAATAATTTATTGCCTCTTCATTTTATTTTTACTGGATTAATATACATGGTTTGAGTCAGGTTTCAATGAATGGAACTTCAGAGAGGGTGTTTCCTTGCCCCTTGTAGGGAACTATTAATAGTAATCTAGTTTCTGCTAGTTACCTCATACCTGGGCATGTGTCTGTCAACAGTGTTCTATGGAGAGCTTGAGTCAGTCCATAAACAAGTAGGTTTAAGACCAGAATTTACATACTTAGAAATGTTTCGTCTTTTATGGATAGCCTGTTAAACCCCAAATATTAATACTTTCTGTCTGCAATGAGAATTGATTTTTTATTGGTAATTAACCACAATAGGAAAACCTAGTTGCCTAACAATTACTTATTTTTTATTCTTTTAAATTTCTTTGGGTGTTTTGAAGGGTATGTCCCCCAGAATAAAAACTTGGAAGGTGGGCACCAATTTGGAATAAAGTTCTATGTTGAATACCTAGACTAGTGCTTGACCATGGCTGTGCTCAAAAAATACTTGGTGACAGGCTGACAAGTTTCTAGGTTCTCGCAAGGGAATTAGAAATTAGGTTGATGACACTGGTTCTTTACTGTATCTCATTCCATCAAATATATTTTCCTTGACAGTTATTCTTCCAAGTTTATCAGCAACAAATAAGATTATGTTTTGCTTACAAAAAATGCTATTCTTTGAGCTATTCCTGAGATAATTAGGCTCAGGTGTAAGATAAGAGGGGCATTGCTCAAGGATTTCTGTATCCTTGTCTAAAGTTGATTTCCAGTCTAAGCCTTGAAAACTTTAGAGGTATAACAGAAGGGAGTTTGGCCTGAGATCAGTTTTCCTTTAGGTGAATAAATGAGGTTTTAGGGAAGAGGCATTTTGTCAGTTTCTTGGCCTAGCTGCCTGGTGTTGCTGCTGATATCCTAGGAGCTTGGCCGTAGATCCTGTTAAATGCAGCTTCTAATTCAGAGAGATGGGCAGGGCATAGTATTCTGCATTTCTAATAAGCTCTCTGGTGGTACTAGGACTGCATCTGGATCCCTGGGTGATTTACATATACATTTAAAAAGTTTGAGAAGCAATCCATGGCTGATTCATGTCAATGTATGACAAAAACCACTACAATATTGTAAAGTAATTAGACTCCAACTAATAAAAATAAATGGGAAAAGAAAAAAAAGTTTGAGAAGCACTTGTCAAGAGAAATAATCTTCTTTTTTTTCCCTAAAAAATTAGGTACTATCTTGCACAATTTTAATGTGCTATCTAAAAATTGCATCATAAGTTTGGTAGTTCCAAAAGGCATAATTTTCAGCATATATTGGCACTTTCAAATGAAGTTATTATTTGACTTAAACAAACATAATTGATGAGACTTCCTGGGTCCAGTGGTTAAGACTCCATGCTTCTACTTCAGGGATGCATGTTCAATCCCTGGTGGAGAACTAGGATCCCACATGCTGTGGAGCGGCCATAAATTAAAAAAATAATTGGTAGTCTCTAAATAGTTAAGGAATATGATATCTTTTGTCATCCATTTCGTGTTTATGAAAAAGCTTTTAAATAGATTGAAATTTTATATTTTCCCTTTATTCTTGCCATAAAGTATGAATCCACATTTAATTTTTGCTAATCTCCTGTAAAGTTTTTAACTATTAAAATTTCTTCTAGATCGAGACATTATTATAATTAATTTTTTACACAGCTGATTAAATTTTTTTTGTTAAATTTTAAGTGTTAAATGTAAATTTTTATTGCTTATTTATCTCAATAAAATGGATAAGGATATCACTTTTTTCCAATTCTTATATCTATGGATGAATATTATGTATTTCTAGAATGAGAAAAGATTTAGCTTCAATTCTATTGTATATTTTTAAATTATTTTATTTACTTAATTGATTTTTGGCAATGCTGGGTTTTCATTGCTTTGTAGGCTTTTCTTTTGCTGGGGTCAGCAGACTTCTCATTGCCATGGCTTCTCTTGTGGCTCCTGGGCTCTAGACCGACACAGAGTCAAAAGTTGTGGTTCACAGGCTTAGTTGCTCCGCAGACTGTGGGATCTTCCCGGACCAGGGATCAAACTTGTGTTTCCTGCATTGGCAGGCAGATTCTTTAACACTGAGCCACCAGGAAAGTCCCTGTATTTTGTTTTAATTGGTGGAAATTCTGAGAAACTTTAGTCACTTTAGTAAGTAGCTGGCAATGGATGGCATTTAATTTTAGCAGTGTATCAGCTCTTTGACTCCTCACTTACTTGTGAAAAAATTACATAGTGTTCTAAAAAATTATTAGATTCTTCTATACTTTTGATATGCAAAGAACTAGAAATCGCCTGACTTGCAAATGGATGTTAGATTCGTTCATTTTCTCAACACTATAAACACTTGTGTTTTCACCTTAAGGTAATATCAAAATTATTTTGATGAAGCCTTGTCTATAGACACAGCTTTGTAGAAGATCATTTTAGGAAAGAGTATGTGAGAAAGTTGAAGATGTGCAAGTTAATTGCTGTAAAGCTATTTTTGCATGATACTTAGTAATCTCTGTGTATTCCCACGGTGGCATCTTCCTTGGTGGCTCAGACAGTAAAGAATCCTCTGTAGTGCGGGAGACCTGGGTTTGATCCCTGGATAGGGAAGATCCTCTGGAGGAGGGCATGGCAACCCACTCCAGTATTCTTGCCTGGAGAATCCCCATGGATAGAGGAGCCTGGCAGGCTACAGCCCATGGGGTTGCCAAGAGTCAGACACATCTGAGTGACTAAGCACATTCCCAGGGGTGAGGGCACCCCAACTGGAAGACTGCTGGCCCATAGGAGTCTTTAGTGGCGTGAGAAGGGAGGAAGAGGTGGCAATATGCAGCCTGTTATTATAGATGAGGTTGTAACTAAGCCTAAGTCTTCTTTTTTTTTTCATTTTTAAACAATTCTTTTGGCTGAGGCACATGGGATCTTAGTTGCCCGATCAGGGATTGAACGCATGCCCCCTGCATTGGAAGTGCGAGGTCTTAACCAGTGGACTGCCAGAAAAGTCCTAACCCTAATATTCTTTTTTTTCTTTTTAACCCTAATATTCTTAACATGAAGATTGTCAGTATTTTAGAGATACAAATGCTAATGTCAAAATTTTATAATCTCATGTACATTTACTAGCTTTGAGTTACTGGGAACTCGGTCCATGAAAAATAAAAGTCCATCTCTTGGTGTTTTCAGAACATAGGTAGGAAAAAAGACAGTGCTTTCCTAGGATGATCCTGATGATTTTTACCCATTCTGAATGTTTGGTATTTTGCACTGGGGGCCCGCTTTGAGAGATTCTTCCCAGATTGTTTAGTGCAAGGGTGAAAGGATAGTTGAATCAGATTTGAAGGAACTGGTGACCTTGGTAGCCCAAGAACATTAAATTAGACATCTCTTAAGTAGAAGTTTTTTTTTTTTCATTTGCCACAACTAGTTAAAATGATGTGAAAGAGTTGGTTTCAAGTGAAGCTAACTTTGGTATTGGGGATGGGTTGGGTTAAGTAATACCTACTTGTTAAAACTGTGCTTATCAGAAGTAAGATTCTTGAATTGTTGATTTGAGGTCACTGGCTCAAGACTTTCCTCTTTAACCTTTATAGCCTCTGGAGGAAAACAGGAGAAGGATTTTGCTCAGACAACAAGCGCTTGTTTAAGTTTTATCCAAGAAGCTCTGCTGAAGCACCAGTGGCAGCGAGCTGCAGAATACATGCACAGTTTTCTTCAGATTTTGGAAGATACGGATAGCAACAAAAGGCAGGGTGCACCTGAGGTAAGTAAAGTGTGAGTCCCCTGGAAGATAGCACAGAATCCTGGGAGTTTCTGCCTCTTGAACTCCACGCAGAACACCTTTTGCAAGATCTCAAATTGAGTTTGTATCGAGACATTTTTGCATACTTCATTTTTCTATTATCATTTTAAGGAGACAAAAAATACTTTAACTCTGAATTCTCAGATTCCCAAATATTTATTCATTCATTTAAGTAATTCTTCCATCTTTCCCCATGTCCTTATTGTCCCCTTTCTATAGGATGGTTCCCATCTTCATGCAAACATGTCGTTCTCTCTCCCACTTAATATCATCTCTTGACTTCTACTTCTTCCACAAGCTGTGCTCATTTCTCCACTCTGCCTTTCAGCAAAACTCCTGGGAAGAGTTCATGTATCTATTTGTTCCAAACCCTCTTCAGTTAAACTCCCCCCAAAATCTCATTTCTACCAAATTGCCTTGTCAGGGTCAACAGTGATATCCACTTTGCTGAATCTAGTGGCTGATTCTCAGTACTTGTCTAACTTGATCATTACCAATGTTAAGCATACCAGGTCATTCCCGTCTGTGTGATGAAGAAGCAAACAATTCTTTTCTGGCTTCCAGGACTCTGCACTCTCAGATTTTTCTCCTACCACGCTGGCCATTCCTCGGTTTCCTTTTTTGATTGCTCTTCGTCTCCTTGGCCTTCTGACGTGGGAGTCCTTGAGACTCCAATCTTTAGGTGTTATTGTTATCTGAACTCTCTTGATCTCGTTCAGTTTCATAGCCTTTCATTCAGTCTGTATGCTGGTGATCCCCCACTGTGTATCTGGAGCTCTGACATCTGTCAAGTCCAGATCACTGTAGCCATCATTCTGTTCAACCTCAGCTCTTAGTATCTAATGTCAGCTAGTATGATATGTTGTATCATACTAGCAAATATAAACTGGTTCTGCTGGTATTCCTTGTCCTTTCTAATTTTCCTCATCTCAGATGACGGTTCCCTTATCTAGTTTTGAAGCCCAGTCTGGAGTTGTTTTTTTTTTTCTTTTGCACGTCATATCCAAACCATCAGGAAATCCTGCTGGCTCTCCTTTGAGAACCTGCTCCCTGCGATCTTGAGTGCTTCTCGCCACGTCCTTTTCGCTGCTTCCTTGACTCAGACTCCCATCACCTCACTTAGATGACTGCTTACCGTCCTCTGCCTCCCAGTGTACTTTCAGCATAGTAACCAGACTGAGCCTTTAAAAAAAAATAGCCTTATTGAGCTACATTAAACACCATACCGTTCGCCCGTTTAAATTAAACAATTCAGTGTGTTTTCATATATTCACAAGAGGTGTGCAACTGTCACCACAATCTAAATTTAGAACATTTTTTGTCACCCCCTCAAAAGAAACACTGTACCCACTTGTAGTCCCTCTTCTCCAGACCCCAGGCCTTAGAAACCATTAATCGACTTTTTATTCTGGACATTTCATTTAAGTAGAATCATATATGTCTTTTTAAGAATGAATTCTTTTACTGAACATAATGTGTTCAAGGCTTATTATACCATATTGTGGCATATTAGTTCTTCACTGACTTTTATTGCAAAATAATATTCCAGTGTAAGGCTTTATCTCATTTGATGAGATAAAACTGATAATCAGTTTTTAGACATTTGAGTAGTTTTTCTTTCTGTTACTCTGAATAATGCTACTATGAACATTAATGTACAAGTTTTTTTTTTTCCCCCCATGTACAAGTTTTTATGGGTGTTTGTTGTAATTTCTCTTGGGTGTATATACTGAGGAGTAGTATGCTGGGGTGTCTAATAAATATATGTAACCTATTAAGGAACTGCTAGACTGTTTTCCACATTGACTGCACTGTTTTACATTCCCACCAGCAACATACAAGGTTTCCAACATTTGTACATCCTCGCCGACAGTATTGTTGTCTGTCTTCTTGATTACAGCCACCCTAGTGGTTGTGACATGGTGTCTCATTGTAGCTTTGTTGGGCATTTTTCAAATCATTAGTGATACAGCACAGTCCTTTTAAACCATGAGTCAAATCATGTCACTGCTCAGCTGAAAACCCTGCAGTGGCTTTCCTGTTTAACTCAGAGTGAGGGCCAGCGTCCTGATCACCTGCAAGTTCTCCTTGCTCTGCGCATTCCCTTTCCCCTTTGACTTTATCTCCTGTTACCATCTAACTTGCTTTTCTTCTCCAGCCTCACTGGCCTCCTTGCTCATCCCTTGAACAACCATACTTCTTCCTGATTGTCTTTGTGGTTTATTTGGCTATCACTGTGGTCACCCTCCCTCACATCATACTTGCAGTGGGGCCTCCCTTCACTATTTAAAGTTGCAACTGCACACCAACCCCCTTCACTTTCCAACTGGCCACCCTGGTCTTCTGACCCTGCATCATTGTTTTTCCCACAATACTTGCCAGTTTAATTATTTATTGTCAGTCTCTCTACAACAGAATGTAAATTCCACCAGGGCAGGCATCTAGAACAGTGCTTGGCATGTACTGTTAAGTTTGTTTTGTTAAAGACAGTATGTCCACAGATAACTTCACATGGATATCTCAAGTAGCTTTTACTATTAGAGTAACCATTGTGTCAATTAGATGTCTAATAGAACCAAAAAATATGAAAAAAAAAATTTAACCATTGATTGAAAGTTTAGTTTATGGACTAAAGTTAATCTAGATCTATAAAACACTGGACAAATTACAGTCCCTTTTTGTCCAGAGTTTGTTTTGTAAATTGAAAGAATTAAATCAGTGGTTACCAGATGCTTGTTTGGGCTCTGTTTGAGTCACATAGAGCCTTTGTTGAACGTATAGATTCCTGCCGTCCACCCCAGTTTTACTGAGTCCAGGTCTGAATCCCTGGAATATTTATTTTTAACTGGTGTCCCAGGTAATTCTTACAAACATATGGATTTAAGAACAACTGTGGTAGGATTATCTCCATATTTTCTTTAAGCTTCAAAACACTGCAATTTGATTATCTATAAAAGAACTCTATGTCTTTCTGAGTATTATGATTATACTAAACCAACATTATACCAAACAACCAGTTTACTTTGAAGATCGGTATCATTGAAGTACTTTAAATGGAATAAGAGAAATAGAGGTTTGCCCTCATGCAAAAGAAGAGCTGCAAGTACTATCATCAAAGTTTTGGTGCTCTGGGGAGAAGATATTTATATTAAAATTTATAATAAATAAAGCTGATGTAGATTCTTAAGTTGAAGCTCTAAAGATAGACTAACTATAGTCAATAGTTGTGGAACCTGATGAAATGTGAGGAAACATTGAGTCCATAGCTCTCACTTGGTAGATAATAAAGATGAGGCTGAGAGCAGTGAAGAAGCCAATGTTAATGGAGCCGGAGTTTTCTAACTTTAAAGTTTTTCTCCTATACTGATTAAAAATGTTATCTTCAATATGTATCTTAACTGCTCACCTTCTTTAGACTTTTGGCTCACAATGACACTATTAATGACACCTGGTATTTTAATCAACAGGAAAAGCTTCTAATCACATAAAATGTGATAATACTTTCATTGGGTGAAGTACAGTAAAATGTTGACAGTAGTGGTATCTAGAAAAAGGAATTATAGGTTGTTTTTTAATGTTGTTATCAGAAGACAATAGCTTTCTGAGACATTGGTTAAGGCAGGGGTTTTACAGTTTTGTTAGTAACTTCTGTTTTGACAGATTATTTGGAGGCTTGGAAGTGAAATTCTTTATTATCATCCCAAAAGCAGCGTGGAGACTTTCAATATCTTTGCTGACCGGATGAAAAATATTGGCATCACGAATTACTTGAAGGTGAGAATGTAGGCTTTGTGAATTTACATCTGCAGCGTTCATTTTTTAAAATTGCTTGTCTCAGTGATAAGGTAGGTAAGAATGTAAAAAAAGATGAGAAAGGGGGTAACACACCTGGGTCAATAAGAGAAGCTGAAGGAAAAATCGCATTGTGAGAGCCATTTACTTCTCCATTTCCTGTCGCCTACCATGTTGTGCAAATGAAAATATCTTCTCTTTGTGTATCTCTGGCTGCCAGAACCAGGCCTTCAGAAACAGCACTTGTGCGTCACTGTGATGATGTGCCAAATTCTAATGTTTGCTTAAGTCACTTGAGCTCTCTAAGAATTGGTGTTTTTGGAAAAGGGAGAGAGCTAAACAAATTGGGAATTTGAATACTTGAGAAAAGGTTTCCAGCTTTGTTGAGATATAGTTGACATATGATTTTATTTCTTTTAAGGTATACAATGTGATGATTTGATAGCATGTGTATATTGCCAAATGTTTACCACAGTGAGGTTAGTTAACATCTCCATCCCATCACATAATATCATTTTGTTGTTGCTGTGTTGAGAACGTTGAAGTTCTGCCCTTGTGGCAGCTTTCAAGTTAACAGTGCCATAGTCACCATGCTGTACATTAGATCCTCAAACTTACTCATCCTATAATTGAGAGTTTGTGTCCTTTGACTACTCCAGCCCTCAGCCTGTGGCAACCAGCATTTTACTGTTTCTATGGGTTGGATGTTTTTAGATTCCACCGGAAAGTGAGATGAGACAATATCACTCTTTTTGTATGACTTATTTCCCTATGTATAATGCCCTCAAAGCTCATCCATGTTGCCACACATGCAAGATTTCATTCTTTTGCATGACTGAATAATACTCCAATGTATATATGTGTGTATACAGTATTTTCCTTATCCATTCATTCATCATTGCTCACTTAGATTGCTTCCATGTCTTGGCTCTTGTGAATAGTGTGGACATGGAAGTGCAGATATCTCGTCCAGATAGTGATTTCAACTTTGGATATATATGCCAATGTGGATTGCCGGATCATATATTAGATCTGTTTTTAATTTATTAGAGGAACCACCATACCACCATCTTCCATGGTGGCTAGACCACTTTACATTCCAAAGGGAATGTACACCAGCAGTATACAGCGGTTCCCTTTTCTCCACACCCTCACCAACACTTGTTATTTCTTGTCTTTTGTTGTGTTTTCCTTTTGGTTGTGCTGGGTCTTTGTTGCTGTGCAGGCCCCTTCTCCTTGCGGTGAGTAGCAGCTGTTCCTCCTTGCAGTGCACGGGCTTCTCATTGCAGTGGCTTCTCTTGTTGCAGAGCACAGGCTTTAGGTGCATGGGCTTCAGTAGTTGCAGCATCCAGTTTTTAGTTGCTCCATGGCATGTGGAATCTTTCCGGATCAGGAATCAAACCTGTGTGCCCTGCATTGGTAGGCGGATTCCCATCCACTGTACCACCAGGAAGTCCTCTCTTGTCTTTTTGATGCTAGCCATTCTAGCTTGTGTGAAGTGGGGGAATTCCTTGGCTATCCAGTGGGTAGGATGCAGAACTTGCACTACTGTGGCCCAAATTTAAATTTGTTTATTTTTAATTGGAGGATAATTGCTTTACAATATCGTGTTGTTTCTGCCATACATCAACATGAATCAGCTGTAGATATGTATACATATGTCCCCTCTTTCTTGAACCTCCCTCCCCCCACCTTTTTTTTTTTTTAATATTTATTTATTTGGCTGCACCGGGTCTTAATTGCAGCATGCGAGATCTAGTTCCCTGAGCAGGGATTAAACCCCGGCCCTCTGCACTGGGAGCATGGAGTCTTAGCTCCATGCTGAGGGCCCACCAGCGAAGTCCCTCTTCTGCCCATTTTTAATTATAATGTATTTTTTGTTGTTCTTGCTATTGAGCTGTATGAGTTCTTTATATATTTTAGGTATTTCTTATCAGATACATGATTTGAAAATATTTCATCCCATTCAGTAGACTGCCTTTTCATCTTGTTGATGGTTTCCTTTGTTGTGCAGAAGCTTTTTAGTTTGATGCAGTCCCACTTGTTTATTTTCACTTTTATTGCTTATGCTTTTGGTGTCATACCCCAAGAATTCATTGCCAAGACCAATAAGAAGGAGTTTTTTTCTTCTGTTTTCTTCTGAGAACTTTAGTTTCAGATCTTACTTTTAAGTCCTTGATCCATTTTGAGTTAATTTTTGTGAGTGGTGTAAATTAAGGGTCCAGTTTCATTCTTCTGCATATAAACGTCTATAGTTTCCCCAACATCATTCATTGAAGAGACTAACCTTTGCCCTTTCAGTATTCTTGGCTCCTTTGTCAAATATTAGTTGACAACATATGGATGGGCTTAGGTCTGAACTCCCAATTCTGTTCCACTTGTCTGATGTGTCTGCTTTGAATGCCATGCTGCTGCTGCTAAGTCGCTTCAGTCGTGTCCGACTCTGTGCGACCCCATAGATGGCAGCCCACCAAGCTCCCCCGTCCCTTGGATTCTCAAGGCAAAAACACTGGAGTGGGTTGCCATTCGTTTGGTAATATAGATTGAAATACAAAGTGTGATACCTGCAGCATTGTTCTTTCTCAAGATTGTTTTGACTATCACAGTTTTTTTGTGAATAATAAAATTTTTGCATCCAAATTTGAAGATTGTGTTTTCTATTTATGTGAAAAATACCAGTGGTATTTTGATAGGTATTGCACTGAATCTATAGATGGCTTTGGGTAGTATGGACATTTTCACAGTAGTACAGACATTTTCACAGCATTAACTCTTCTGAGCCATGTGTGAAAATGTTTCATTGTTTCTCATGTTTAGGTGGAGCTTTATCCAAGTTAAAGTGTCCTTTAATAATAGTTTTATCCAAAAGAATTGACTTCCTCCAAAATGTTATGATAATCTCCCTCTCCGTGGTATATATTTGACTAAAAGCACTTTCTCAATCAAGTTTTTGCATGCTTTGCTTTTTAATTTTTTTTCCAGTGCCTCTAAATAAAGTTTTGTTGGAACATTGCCACACCCATTCATTTCCACATTGCCGGTAGCTACTTTTAGCCAGACAATGGCAGAGTCGAGTAGTTGTGACTGAGGCCAATAGGCCTGTGATTCCTAAAATATTTACCCTCCTATTCTTGTTTTATTTTTACTTTCTTTAGTTGTCAGATATTTTTAAATTGTTGCAAAATGTATGTAACATAAAGTGTGATATTCTAACCATCTTTAAGTGTATAATTAATTCAGTGGCATTAATTATGTTTCCATTGTTGTGCAGCCATCACTAGTATTGCCAAAATTTCCATCACCCCAAACAGAAACTCTATACCCATTAAGCAGTAACTCCTCATTCCCTCCTCCTCCCATCCCCTCATCACCTCTAATCTACTTTCTGTCTCTATAAATTTGGCTATTCTAGGTATTTGTTATAAGGGGAAGCATATAATATTTGTCCTTTTATGTTTTGGTTATTTCACCTAGCATCATGTTTTCAAGATTTATCTGTGTTGTGGCGTGTGTCAGACCTCGCCCCTTGTTACGGCTCAGCATACTGCAGTGTTCTGTTGCACGTGTCTGTCACATTCTCTTATCCTTTCGTCTCTTGTTTGCTTGTTTCCATCTTTTGGCTATTGTGAATAACACTTCAGTGAATGCTGTCATACTGGTATCTGTTTGAGTCTCTACTTTCAGTTTCTTTGGATGTCTACCTTTGAGTAGAATTGCTAGGTCATGTTTTATGTCATATAAATACATATACACATATTTGTTGTTGCTGTTCAGGCACTAAGTTCTGTCCAACTCTTTGTGACCCCATAGATTGTAGCACGCCAGGCTCCTCTGTCCTGCACTATCTCCTGGAGTTTGCTCAAATTCACGTCCATTATTGAATCAGCGATGCTATCTAATCATCTCATCCTCGGTGGTCCCCGTCTCCTTTTGCCTTGCAACTTTCCCAGCATCAGGGTCTTTTCCAGTGAGTTGGTGTTTATATATGTGTATTATAAAAATATGTATGTGTAGACATATAATTCTATGTTTAACTTCTTTAGGAATCACTAAACTGTTTTTCATAGTGGCTGTAGCATTTTATAGTCCTACTGCTTTCTAATTTTGAAAAAAAATTTTCCCTGGTTTAGGGTTCTTTACAGGTTTTATTAATTTAGGAAAAAATTTTTGTTTCTCGTAAGTGCCAGGTTCTTCCTTAGGATCTTATTATCTGGTAGACCATGTACATTATAAGCAGAAACAATGGAAGCAGCATATGGTTCCACTTAAGGAAGAACTTTCTCAATGAACAGTTGGAAAAAGGGGATAGCCTGCCCTGGTGTTGGGTCCTTCTCTTCTTTCAGGGAGAAACTGGATAGCCATTTAGGGAGGGGAGGTAGAGTTTTAACTAAATTATTGGTTAGTTCCTTTTAAGCTCATAGAATCTATTCAAGTGAAGTAAAGACTTCTGAGAGAAACTTTATTTCATACTCCAGAGTCTGAGGGTGGTAATTAGGATAGACAAAAGACATTTTTTAGTAACACTTTTAAAAACACCTGCTGCTTTTTCCCAGACAATCTGCTGGACATGGTTCTTGCAGTAAAGGGAGACAGGTATGTAAATGAAATAAATGGTTATGGTTGCCATGGTAGAAATACAATTACAGTGAGAAGACAAAGTAGAAAATGGTTGGCTCTCTGGAATTGGAAAGGGCTAGGATTGAATGAGTTAGGGGAATTGGGCAAAGAAGGGATGTGATGCTGGAGATGAGTCCAAAGAAGCTAGTGGGTATTCAGTCTGCTTACTGGAGGAAATTGTAGTCTAGCATGGTAGGGGATAATAAAGAGTCTGATACCTCTGTGTCTAATGTGTCTTTAGTTATTCTAAAAATCACATAGGTAGAAACCAGGGAAGTAAGCTGAGCTCTGTGGGCCATCTCTGTAGAGCTGAGATTTTTATTCTGTAGGCACTGGGAACTGGTGAAGAATTTTACACAAATGACCAATGAGATTTCTTTGGTGGTCACATGGAAGATGGATTGTAGGGGGACAAGACAGGAGACACGAGTTGAGAAATCATTACAGTAGTTGAAGAGGAAGGTTTGAACTCTGACTCTGTTCATATAATTAACTGTATTTCCCATTATTCTCCTCCCCAATGCTCTCCCGATTTGTATTGCTCTTTATGTAATTAATCTTTTTTTTATTTTTAATTGAAAATTTGACATATATTTGATGCATGGGCTTCTCTGGTGGCTCAGTGGTAAAGAATCCTGCCAAGCAGGAGGTGCAGGTTTGATCCCTGGGTTGGGAAGATCCCCTGGAGAAGGAAATGGCAACGCATTCCAGTATTCTTGCCTGGAGAATCCCATGGGCAGAGGAGCCTGGCAGGCCACAGTCCATGGGGTTGCAAAGAGTTGGACACGACTTAGTGACTAAACAACAATTTTTTCATGCGTCTTTCTGCTAGGTTGAAATTTTTTATCACGGGGACAATGTTCCATCGTTTGTGTTCTCCCAAGGTCTTAGCCCAGCATGTATCATATATTTACTGAATTTTTAAACTAATGGTTATCTAATGACCTGCATGACAGTGGGCTTTTCTTAATGTTTCAGATTTCCTTACAACACGCATTATACCTTCTGCATCATGGATTGCTTGAAGATGCAAACAGAATTCTCACCCAGGCAGAGACATGGCGATATGGTGAAAAGTCTTCTTCCCAGGAAGTGTTAGTCAACCTCATTCAGGCCTATAAAGGGCTTTTGCAGTATTATTCTTGGTCTAAAAAGAAGATGGAATTGTCTCAACTTGGTGAGTAAATAAGAGTGATGAGTGGTAAGACTGTCAGAGGGATAGAAGGAATCTTGAGGAATAATCTAATTCCCCTTCTTCCAAGCCTGGCTTTATCCCGATAGTACAGAGAACAGAGATTGCTATGCTTATAAAATTCTGCTCCATCCTTTATAAAATTTCTGATATTTAAACAAAAGACTTTTCAGACATAAATTAGATAATTCATAGGTTAAGTTCATGACCATTTTAGATTCGTTGCTTTTTTAAAATTTATTTTTGTTTTTGGTTGCGCTGGGTCTTCATTGCTGTGAGCAGGCTTTCTCTAGTTGCAGCAAGCAGGGGCTACTCTTCATTGTGGTGCCTGGGCTGCTCGTTGCAGTGGCTTCTTGTTGCGGAGCCCGGGATCTAGGGTGTGTGGGCTTCAGTACTTGTGGTGCTCTGGCTTGGTGGTTGTGGCTCATGGACTCTAGAGCACAGGCTCAGTAGTTGCGGCACATGGGCTAAGCTGTACAACATGTGGAATCTTCTTGGACCAGGGTCCGAGGGGACCGAGAATCCATGTCCCCTTCATTGGAAGGTGAATTCTTATTCACTATGCCACCAGGAATAGTCCTAGAGTCATTCATTTCTTGGAAACCTGATTTCCAGGAAAGGTCACAAATTTTCATCCATGGGCATTATCGCATAGAAGAAGCATTTCTTCCTGTGTGTTTATAATGGAGTTTAGTTTGTTTTGTAATGTGGTTTCTTAGGAAAATATGTTTAAAGAATAGGGCAAGATAAAGTTGTTTCATTTCTGTACAAAGGTCATAACAGACAATTTTCTTGACTCACTGATCACCCCCAGAACTGACTTATGTGTTCTTCTCCAACTGCCTTCTCTTTCTCTGACTTGCAGTGGTGATGTTGTCCTCTCCTGTCCCTAAATTTGTGTTCTTTGAAGCTGTATGATTCTCTGCACCTTTTTTCCCCTCATATAGTTTTTGTCCATAACTTCTCTAGGATTAACCTTTTTCTGTTTTCACCTCCTTCATCCAAATCCCAGTTCTGACATTTATCACTTCATTTATGTTAAGCTGTGTTTCCTCAATATCCTTAATTGACAGTAGTATTTCCTTGGTCTCTGGGCGGGTGGGTTCACCAGTCACAAATTCCCTTCCTGTTTCCTGTCTTTAACCACCCCAAAGACACTTCTGAAATACTGTCTTCATCCTGATAATCTTGTGAGGCCTCTTGTGCATCCTCCTGCTCCAGTATGCCATCTGTCTTCAGGACTCATTAGACCTCTCCTCCTTTTATTTTAAACCCAACATACCAGCTGCATGTTCAGCCTGTATCATTTGACTCTTCACCTTTTGCTTTTTTAATCACTAAGTTTTTTCATGTGTGTTTTGTGTTGTGTCTCCTTGTCTAGACTCATCAATCTTTTGAGGTCACATATCTGTATTTCTTTCGTTAACCTTGCTGAAGGACTTTCCTAGTGGCTCAGACAGTAAAGACTCTGCCTGCAATGAGGGAGACCCGGATTCAATCCCTGGGTTGGTAAGATCTCCTGGAGAAGGACATGGCAGCCCTCTCCAGTATTCTTGCCTGGAGAATCCCATGGACAGAGAAGCCTGGCGGGCTACAGTCCATGGGGTCACAAAGAGTTGGACAGTACTGATCGAGTAACACAACACAACAGACCTTGCTGAAATGCCCACTGTAATGTTCTTTTTAAGAAGACTCATTGATACTGATTTAGGTAAGTTTTAAAATCATTATTTCCTTTCCTTCTCACACACTTAGGTAGAACTCAAGCAAATACATGATGATTAAAGCAGTTGGAACATGGATTTATACCATCACTTTCATGGTTAGATAATTCAGTACCTTCTGCAGCTGGCACTCTTCTGGAGCAACAAGAGATAGAGATGGGATAAAATGTGGAGCTCTTTAGATGATCGTTAACCTCACATGGCTCTTTAATGGGAAAAAAAACTAGGACTAGTTTTATATGACCAGACTTAAGGAATGTAACACATGAACGTGTGCTCAGTTGCCTTGGGATTTTTCCTTTCTGCTGTGGCCTATGCTGGTTGGCTTTGATGCACTTGGTAGCTGGGAACCCCCTTCCATGGTAAATTCACACCCAACTTATATTTACTCAGGGATCTGCCCTTCTTTCTTTCTTTTTTCTGATATCCTTTTACACCTGCTTTCCAGTTACCATTTCATTTCCAAGTTCATATTGATATTTATGTAGTAGATCCACTGGGAAGGGTGTACTAATCTGTATATTGGGTGAAAGGAGGCTACTATTTTGGCCAAAAAGAAGCATTGGAACCCCAAAGTGTTTTGTGCTTCCAACTGTTTGTTTCGAAGGACAGATTTTCTTTTTAAGCCTTTAAGACTGTGAAATATATCCTGAAGAAGCGTGTCAAACAAATGTGTGATAGAGTGAATTTATAAAACAAACATCCATGTAACTACACCCAGATTAAGGAGCACAACATTGCTGTCCCCCTGAAAGTTCTCCATGTGTTCTTTCCTGATCACATCTCTCATTCTGTCTCAAGGAAACCACTGTTCTGACTTTAATGATAATTAGTGTTCAGAGCTCAGTCATGTCCAACTCTTTGTCACCCCATGGACTGCAGCCCACCAGGCCCCTCTGTCCATGGAATTCTCCAGGCAAGAATACTGGAGTGGGTTGCCATTTCCTTCTTCCCAACCCAGGGATCAAACCCCCATCTCTTGCGTCTCCTGCATTGCAGGTGGATTCTTTACCTCTGTGCCACCTAGGAGGCCCCTTAATGAGAATAACTCCTTTGTTTTAAAGATACCTTTACCACTCAAGCATGCATCTGTAAGGGCTTCCCAGGTAGCTACAGTCCATAGGGTCATGAAGGGTTGGACAGAACTGAAGCGGCTGAGCACAGTGCAGCACATACACCTGTAAACGATGTAGTGTAGTTTTGCCTATATTTTAGTGTCATATTTGGATCCACACTGTACATATTTTGGGGGACATTGCATATTTTGTTCAACATTTAACGTGTGACTGTATGGTTGAATTATCTCTAGTTTATTCATTTTTGTTGTGAAACAATACATTGTATGATATTGCAATTTATTCCTTCTGCATATTGATTGCCATTTAGGATTTAATAGTTTGGGGATATTATAATTAACACTGCTTTGAAATTCGTGGGCACGGATAGTGGTACACATATGCGTGTTTTTCTTGGAGTAGAATTGTTGTCACTAAGCATGTGTATCTTCAACTTTACTACATAATAGGCTAAACTGTTTGCAAAGTGGTTACTAATTTATATCCCATTAGTAGTCTGTTTTGAGTTTTCTTTTGTCTCTTCTTCTCATTGTTTATTATTATCAGAAGTTTTCATGTCACCCAATTTATTATGTGGTATGGTAATCTCTCTTTTTTTAAAATAACAGCTTTATTGAGAATTGAGATATGATTCTTGATATGGTTCACCCACTGGTTGTCATTGTAGTTCAGTCACTAAGTCCTGTCCGACTCTTCGCAACCCTGTGGACTGCAGAAAGCCAGGCTTCCCTGTCCTTCACTATCTCCTTGAGTTTGCTCAAACTCATGTCCATTGAGTCAGTGATGCCATACAATCATCTCATCCTCTGTCACCCCCTTTTCCTCTTACCCTCGGTTTTCTCCAGCATCAGGGTCTTTTCCAGTTAGTCAGCTCTTAACATCAGGTGGCCAAAGGATTGGAGCTTCAGCTTCAGCACCAGTCCTTCCAGTGAACATTCAAGGTTGATTTCCTTTAGGATTGCCTGGTTTGGTCTCCTTGGTGTTCAAGGGACTCTCGAGAGTGTTCTCCAGCACCACAGTTCGAAAGCATCAGTTCTTCGGCATTCAGCCTTCTTTATGGTGCAGCTCTCACATCCATGCATGACTTCTAGAGAAACCATGGCTTTGACTATGACCATATGGGCCTTTGTAGGCAAAGTGATGACTCTGTTTTTTAATACACTGTTTAGGTTTGTCATAGCTATTCTTCCAAGGAGCAAGTGTCTTTTAACTTCATGGCATGCAGTCACCATCCACATTGATTTTGGAGCCCAAGAAAATGAAATTTGACACTGTTTCTACAATTTCCCCATCTATTTGCCATGAAGTGATAGGGCTGGATGCTGTAATCTTTGTTTTTTGAATGTTGAGTTTTAAGCCAGCTTTTTCACTGCTCTTTCACCTTCATCAAGAGGCTCTTTAGTTCCTTCACTTTCTGCCATTAAAGTGGTATCATCTGCATATCTGAGGTTGTTGGTATTTCTCCGGACAATCTTGATTCCAGCTTGTGATTAATTCAACCCAGCATTTCACATGATGTGCTCTGCTTATAAGTTAAATAAACAGGGTGACAATATACAGCCTTGATACACTCCTTTCCCAGTTTTGAACCAGTCCATTTTTCCATGTCCAGTTCTAACTATTGCTTCTTGTCCTGCATACAGATTTCTCAGGGGGCAGGTCAGGTAGTCTGGTATTCTCATCTCATTAAGAATATTCCACAGTTTGTTGTGATGCATACAGTCAAAGGCTTTAGCATAGTCAGTGAAGCAGAAGTAGATGTTTTTTGGAACTCCCTTGCTTTTTCTATATTCGAGCATATGTTGGCAATTTGATCTCACTTAGAGTATAATAAATTCAGTGTTTTGTAATATATTCACAGTTGTTCACCCATTACCATCATCAATTTTAGAACAGTTTTGTCACCCCAGAAAGAAAGCCTGTACCGGTTAGCAGTCCCTCTTAACTCTTCCCCAGTTCCTGCATTGCTAGGCAACCAGTAATCTACTTTCTGTCTCTGGAGATGTATTCTGGACAGTTCATACAAATGTAGTCCTGAAACATGTGGTCTTTTGTTACTGACTTCTTTCACTTAGCCTAATGTTTTTAAAGGTTCACCCATGTTGTAGCATGTAATGGCACTTAATTCCTTTTTATTTATTTATATTTCATTGTATGATTATACCACACTTAAGTATCCATTATCAGTTGGTGGACATTTGGGTGTTTGCACTTTTTCGCAATTTTGAATAATGTTGCTGTGAACTTTTGAGGGACCTCCATAGTGTTTTCCAAAGTAGCTGTGCCATTTTCCATTCCCACCAGCAGTATATGTGAAGGATACTGATTTCTTCTTGTCCTTCCCAACACTTGCCATTGATAGGACTATCCCAGTGGGTGTGAGGTAGTGTATTGTGGTTTTGATTTGCATTTCCTTAGAAGCTAATAGTGTTGAGCATCTTTTCATGTGCTTATGGGCCATTCTTTGGAGCTATGTCTTCTTTGGAGAAATTTGCATTCAGATTCTTTTCTCCTAGGAGATTTTTAATTGAAGTACTTATTTTTTTTTATTATTGAGTTATAAATCTTTATAAATTCTAGGTCCAAGTCCTATATCAGACAGGTGCGGGATTTGGAAATGTTTTCTTTTATTCTGTGGGTTACTTTTTTCACTTTCTTAATGGTGTTTTTGAGTCACAGAATGTTTTAATTTTGATGAAGTTTAGTTTATCTGTTTTTTTCTTTTGTTGCTTATGCTTTTGGTGTCACATCCAAGAAACCATTGCCTACTCCAGGGTCACAAAGATTTAGACTAGTGTTTTCTTTTAAGAGGTGTATAGTTTTACTCCTACATTTTGGTTTTTTGATTCATCTTGAGTGAATTTTTGTATATCATGTGAGGTAAGTAGAGGTTCAATTTTGTCATTTTACATGTGGATATTCAGTTGTTCCAGCACATTTATTGAAAAGACTATTTTTTTCCCACTGAATTGTCTTGGTATTCTTCTCAAAAAATCACTTACTCATATATGAAGTTTTATTTATGACTGTAAATTCTCTCCCATTGATCTGTATATGTCCATTGTTGTTGTTTAGTTGCTAAGTCATATCCAACTCTTTGCGACCCCATGGACTATAGCCCGCCAGGCTCTTCTGTGCGTGGGATTTCCCAGGCAAGAATACTGGAATGGGTTGCTGTTTCCTTCTCTAGGGCAACCTTCCTAAGAAAATTAAATCCATGTCTCTTGCATTGGCAGATGGATTCTTTACTGCTGAGCCACCCTGGAAGTTCATATATGTGTGTGTGTATATATATATATATATATATATATATATATGTATATATACCTGTATCACACAGTCTCAGTTACAGGAGTTTTGTAGTGACTTCTGAGGTCACACTGTGAATCCTCCAAAATTTTTAAAAAAATATTATTTTGGTTCTTTTTGATCTTTTGCATTTCCATATGGATTATAGGAATAGTTTGCCAATTTAAGCAAAAAAGCCAGCTGGGATTTTGATAGAAGTTGCATTAAAACTATAAGTTAATTTAATAAGTCTTCTAACTTCTAACATGGGATGTGTTTCCATTTACTTAAGTCATTTTTAATTTCCTTGAACAATACTACTTTTCAGATACGATTTTTTATTCTTTTGTAAAACTTATAGCTAAGTTGTTTCTTGTTTTTGATGCTATTATGCTATTGTAAATGGTATTATTTTCCTGATTTCATTTTTGGATGGTTTGTTGACTATTGTATGTTGATTTAATATTATACAACTATGAACTCATTAATTCTAATAAATTTTTTTAGTAGATTCTTAGGATTTTCTATGTAGAAAATCATGTCATCTTCAAGTAGAGATAGTTTTAATTCTTCCTTTCTAATCTGAACATTGTTTATATCATTTTCTTGCTGAATTGCCTGGCCAGAACCTTCATGAGAGTGTTGGACAGAGTGGCAGGAGAGGAATTTTCCCTTGCATGCAGTCTTTCATCATCAATTCTGATATTAGTTGTGAGTTTTTCACAAGATGCTCTTTATCAGATTGAAGAAATTTCCTCTATTCCTAGATATTGAGTGTTTTTATCATGAAAAGTTATTGAATTTTTATCAAATGCTTTTTCTGCAACAATCGGGATGATTATGAGGTTTTTGTCATTATTCTGTTGATTTTATAATATTGTATTAATTGATTTCAGATGCTAAACAACCTTTCATTCCTGGAATAAATTCCACTTTATATGTTGCTGGGTTCAGTTTGCTAGTATTTTGTTAAGAATTTGTGCATCTGTGTAAGAGATGTTGGTCTGTAATTTTCTTGTGTTGTCATTTTCTGATTTTGGTATTTGGATAATACTGATCTCTTAGGTAAGTTGGGAAGTGTTCTCTCTGTCCTTTTTTGGGGGATAGTTTGTAAAGAATTAGTATTCTTCTTTGTTAGAATTCACCAGTGAAGCCATTACAGTCTGAGCTTTTCTTATGTGTAGTTTATCAGTTACTGATTCTGCATTTTAAAGTACTGACTACTTTAAAAAATCTTTTGTCTTTGGGCAGATAAAGACGATTATGCGTACAACACAGCATCCCAGAATATGCTTAACCACAGCTGGAAGACTTCTGTAAACCTTTGCACATTGATTCAAATCCCTGGAGTTTGGGACCCTTTTGTGAAGAGTTATGTAGAGGTAAGTAGACTTTTCATAAGTTTTCATTAGTTTCATTTTGTTTTAAGCTTAATCTTTATTAGTCAGAAGGCAAATAATGGAAAAAATATTTTTTAAACAATAGGATACCCTTTTTTTGTCTGAATAACATTTGCTTATTTTACTACTGTACAGTAACTGTTACTGTGTTTATTTTCACCACTGGATAACCTGTCATGGCCAGATGCAGGCACCACTCAGTATCCATGTACACTGAAGTCCCTTATATAAAATGGTGTAGTATTTGCATGTAACCAATGCATATCCTCTTGTATACTTTAAATCATCTTTAGATTGCTCTTAATACTTAACACAATATGAATGCTGTGTAAGTAGTTGCCTCTGTGCAACACATTCAAGTTTTGCATTCTGGAACTTTCTGGAAATTTTATTTTTCCAAATATTCTCAATCTGTGGATGGTTGAACCCCAAGATGCAAAACCCAAGGATGTAGGGCTCATGGATGGTGCAGGGGCGATAGACTATATTTATAAATAAATAGCACAATAGTTGTAAATGTCAATTCTATATTGTTCTGATTGAGCTTAAAAGAAAAGCAGAAAGATCTTTTATGATATGGTGGGATCTAGAAGGAAAAGGGGACAAAAATCTGAAACTAGGTCACAATATGTGAAATGAAGAAGAATGGCTTTTAGAAGTTCTTAAGGACAACCTGTTATCTCAGAGTTATTGCAAAAGGACAGGACTAGGGATACATCATCAAAATACTTTGCTTTTTGAAAGTTTCACTAATGCTAAAGTGAGAATTATGTTATCAGAAGATAATCTCTGAAACTGGATGCCAGTGAATCTGGAAACTCCTGTGTCAGGATGGGAAAGAATGAAAGGAAAGGAATTATAATTCCTATGCTCTCCTTTTGTGGCTAGAGTTTGTAGGGCACTGAGGTTAGTGGCATCATATGGTCTTTTTTTGGTCCTTAGTTTGCCCTATTTTGAAGCCTTTATTTCTCACAGGAACAGTTCTTATGTTGAAGTTGCTATATTTTTCAGTAACAAAATATGACAAGGAAAAATTGGGAAACTGTGTAGGCCTTTGATGTGATCTTCTGTGTTCCATGGAGGTTGTACAATACACTGGTGGAAGCAAAAACTAGCATCACTATTGTTCCCTATACAATAAATGCTATTTTTAAGTTGTATGATTTTTTTGTGCTCATCAATGAAGTTGTACATGATGTTTCATATAGTTATCTTACAGAATCTAGCTAAGATATCGTCACTTATTTTATGCAGATGCTGGAATTCTACGGGGATCGAGATGGTGCCCGAGAGGTGCTTAACAATTACGCCTATGATGAAAAGTTCCCATCAAATCCAAACGCTCATGTCTACTTATACAATTTTCTAAAGAGAGAGAAGGCACCCAGAGAGAAACTGATAAGTGTGCTTAAGGTAGGGAATTCTTACGTCAGTGTGTGAACAGCGTTGGGAATCAAATACTTTAAGACATTCTTAGGTCACTACTTTCCAACTTTCATGTTCTTGCACCAAGAGAAAATGACAGTGTATGGATGATACACTGAGATAAAGACAGGAGGCTGTGGGCTTCAGACAGATCCTCCTCTCATCAACCACTATTCTCCCATCCTCTGCCCAAGTGAGACTGAGGGGAGAGGATCAGTATCACAGAAACCCTTTGTCACCCTGGTTGGAAAGTTCCGCATTGCTGTTTCTGTTTTTACTTACTTAGTTTTTGGCTGTGCTGGGTCTTGTTGCTGTGTGTGGGCTTTGTCCAGCTGCACCGAGTGGGGGCTGCTCTCCTGTTGTGGAGTGTGGGCTCTAGGGACGTCGGCTTCAGTAATGTTTGCCCCTGGACTCTTGTTGCAGGCTCAGTAGTTATGGGCTCAGTTGCTCCACAGCACGTGGAATCTTCTCAGACCAGGGATCGAACCTGTGTCCCCTGTATTGGCAGATTTCTTAACCACTGGACCACCAGGGAAGTTCCTTGACTTTTGAATACTCTTTATAGAGTGTGTTCCTGAACACAATCTTCTAAGATAACTAGCCTTGCTTTTTTGTTTTATATACTTTGTGACCTTTTGTGATCAGTAAATACTAAATATCTTGTCTGTGTGATACTCTTTTCCTTTATTTTCTCCTCAGTCCTGGGTGCTGAAAAGAAAGTAAACTTTTCAAGTGTGGTCAACAGTATAAATATGGAGGAAAAAAAAAAGTATTTGTTTATCTACACTGCCCACCCACCCAACCAGCTATCTTGTTTTTAGCAGGGATTTTTTTTTGTTTTAAATATCTTTGCATAGAATACATTTTTATACCAAAATTAAAACTGGATAAAAGCAAAGTATCTTTTAAATCCTTGATTCATTTTCTGAGAGCATATTAGATAGTAAGAATTTCATCTGAAAGTATACTAATGCCTTTGGAATGGGTAATAATTACAGTATTATTCTTTCTTCCAGATTTTGTATCAGATTGTACCATCTCATAAACTGATGTTAGAATTCCATAGGTTACTGCGAAAATCAGGTAAGTAGTTCTTGTTTTCTGTCTCTTCGTGCAGATAAACTGTAGACTAGGGCTTAGCCAACTGTGGCAGTGGGCCCCATCCAACTCTTGCCTGTTTTTATAAATCAAGTTCTGTTGGAGCACGGCCATGCCCATTTATTTACATATCACCTGTGCCTGCTTTTGCCCTGCAACAGTAGAGTTGCATAGTTAGGACAACTTGTAAAGCTTGCATAACTTAAATGTTTAGTGTCTGCCCCTTTACAGAAAAAGTTTGCTGACCCATGCTGTAAAGTATTAGGCAATGGTTGCAAAAGAAAAACGGCTTCTATTTGTGTAATTCAGCTCATTTTAATCTTTAATGTTATTCAGCTCAGTATAGGAAAGAACATTTCTTGAAAGAAGGAAATCTGCTTAAGTCCAATAGGTACTGGGACTGCCTCTGTCCCTCTCCTAATAGAAAAGAATATGTATGAAATGCCTCAATAGGGCAGGTACTTTAAATAATATTCTGAGTAGTATAAACCCATACAGAGGTCAGACTCACCACCCTGCTCTCATTAGCATGGACTAAGTTACTGAATTTTTCAGGTTCATCACAGGAGCGTATATTGATGATAGTGTGATCACGTGAATTGTTTTAAGCTGTTAGACTTTAAGGCTTATGTTCAGTGGCATTTTGTCAATGGAATGTAAGCTTGTACCTTTGTGCTCTTCAGTGCTTTCTGTAAACTCTTAATTGTCTTGACCATCGCAGACAAGCAGGAACACCATAAACTGGGATTGGAGGTATTATTTGGAATTTTAGATTTTGCTGGATGCACTAAAAATATAACTGCTTGGAAATACCTGGCAAAATATCTCAAACAGACTCTAATGGGGTAAGTGAGAAACACACAGTGTTTATTACTAGATCAGCATAAATAACACTTTATAAAATTTTAGCTAATATCTGTCCATTTTTAAAGCTCTTTGTTTATGTTTTTGGATTTCTTGAGCTGTGTTTTTAGCTGTTTTCTTCTGAATACATCAGAAGACAGGAAGTAGGAAATCACAAGTAAAACGTAAAAAATTCTATGAAGATTTTTTGTGCTATTAAAATAAATACTGTCAGTTACCACTACTCTGCTAAGGGGTAAGTGTGTACTTTCTTTTTGAAAATAAAGATTAAAATGGGTCACTTCCACTCTTGACGAGATTCTTTGTAAAGCTTTTTGTAATTTGCGTCATCTGCTTGTAAGATCACATAGAAAGCAGCTTTTCTCCCAGCTATTTTCAGTGGGTTTTTTTTTAGGACCTTTTAAAACCATCTTGGTCATTCATTCAACAAATATTTATGAAGTCCCTTGTGAGCTGGGTATCTGAAACTATACCTTTGATCATAGTAATCATCAGTGCCACATTTCGAATATAAGAAAAGAAGTGGCCCTTATCATTTTTACCCTGTGCATGAAAATAAAGGATACCATGGAATGAAAGTTTCATTGAGTTATTATATCCATTTTAGTTTATTAGGAAATTAATTATCAGTGGAAACTTGCTTCAGGCTTCAGATCTGACTTGACCTTAGAGATAAAATAGTCTGATCATGAAGTGTTTTTGGTGCGATATGTTGGTGTGCTCACTGTAAGCCACTTTCCAAATCTCAGTCTAAATCCCTACTAACCATAAGGTTCTTGAAGGCAGAGAAATGTGCTGTTCACTTCTTAAACCTCTAGAAGTTTTGCCACAAGGGCAAATAGGTTTTAAATACATCTTTGCTCAATTAAATTATTGATGAACACTTAGCATTGCCTGGGTTTAACACTTAGCATTGCCTGGGTTTAGCTGTCAAACCCTTGTGTTCATGTAAATGTATAATAATGGCATCTCATTTGTATAGTAATTCTTTCTAGCCTATAAAATTTAAAGTAAGGTTTTAAGGAGACTTTTAAAGTAGTGAATAATAATAGCTAACATTTATTGAAACTTTGCTTTGTACTGGACAGCAGGCAAAGAGTTTTCTGTGACACCTGCCACACTGTGGACCAGTTTAATCCTAATAGCAAAACTGTGAGATGGGTGCCATTAATGTACCCAAGGAACCTGAGTCTCAGAGAGATTAAGCAGCTTGCACAGGATCACATAGATAATAAATGGAAGATGCAAGATTTGAATCTGAGACTTGGACCTCAGAGTCTATGCTGGTAATCACTGTGCTGTGCTGAACTGGCTATTTCATTAGATGGAAAATGGGATGTGGAGATCAAAGAAGTCTAAAAAGGATTTGCTTTCATGTATGTTCTGTGCCATGGCTGTACCCGGAAGCTAGTTTCAGAGCATCTGCTTTGTCTTCTTTCCATGGACCCAACTGAAGTTCACATTCTGACCATATAGGTCTGTTTCCATCACTGACCTTCTCTTTTGACATTTTTCTTTTCCAGGAGTCATCTTGCCTGGGTTCAAGAAGAGTGGAACTCCAGGAAAAGCTGGTGGCCAAGCTTTCACTTCAGCTACTTTTGGGCAAAAAAGAATTGGAAGGATGATAAAACTTTGGCTTGTGAGAAAGCTTTGGTAGCTGGGTTATTGTTAGGAAAAGGTACATGTTTTGTTTTCCTTTTATCTAGCCATAGCTTTTAGGTGATTTTGAAATTACAATGTGCGCATTCATGCTGGAGAAATAACTGATGAATAGAAAAATAATCTTGAGTTGGGGGGCCAGTGATCTGTTGCTAGGGAACTGTGGATTAGAAACAGTGATTTCATACTGTTGATTGTTGTTGGTTTTTATGCTCTGATTTGAGTATCTTTTAAGAGCCATTAAGATAAAGGATGCAGACTGTTTTCACAACAAATGACCATTTGGCTGTGCTATAGAGAAAGTTGACTGAGATTGTCTACAAGAAATAGAAAAATATTCTTTATTGATTCCATTTTTAAATGACACTTTTATGTTCTATTAACTTCCCTGTTCCTGTAACAGTGAGTCATTTCTTCCCATATGAAAAGAAAAACATACCTCCTATTAACTTAGCTAAAAATTTTCTTAAAGGGAAATTGATCTTTTCTTTGGGGAGTATCTTGGCTGTTAAAACTCTTACCTGCTTTCTACCACTGAAATATGGAAAGGTAGCCAGTACTGAAATGAGACTTGTCCATCTTGTCCAGAGATGAAGGAACCTCACGGTGGCCATAAGTAAGCACTGTGTGGCCAGGGAATTTAAAGTGCTCTAAAGAGATTTTTCAGGTTGGTTTAGATATAGTTTGAGCTAATTTGGAATTTGCATTAGTATTCTCAGTTAATGTTTCATATGGTTACTAAGATTAACCAGATGTTGATTTTGTGGGAGGGAAGGGGTTAATAAACACAAGTGTAGTTTTAAAAATTTCTCCCTGATATACTGACAAGACACAAAAATGTGATTTGGACTGTGATTTCCAACTTTATGAGTATAAAGGTTTCTAGTACAGATACCAAAATGTACCTGTGTTTGAGCGGGTTCTAAAGACCTGGGTTAACTTTCCAATTCTGTCCCTTACTCGCTGCATCACTTAGGCCAAGCAGGTAGCCTTTGGGAGCCTTCTGTGTGAGATGGGCAGTGTAACAGCTGCCTGATTTGCTTACAGGATTGTTGTAAGCATCACACAAAGCTCACGTTAAAGTGCTGTGTGAGTTCTAAAGTATCCTGTGAATATCAGGCATAAACTGCCTAAGAGTGGGCTCACTGCTGCTTCCTTCAGGGTGTGAGTGTGGGGGTTAAGTCAGTCTGTTGGGAGCTGAGCTGGGTTTTGTTCTTGGTCCGGTTACCCTCATTACACCCTGGATTTGAACTCCCGCCGTCATCTGCCTTTGCTCTGTGCTCGGAGCAGGGTGTCGGGGCTGCCCTTCCTCCCATGGGCCACTCGAGGCGACCAGGCCCACTCCTCCCTGGAGGGACCTTTCCCTCCTGGCCGTCCAGGCTGCTCGGCTGTCATGTGACTTCAGCTCGGGTGGGCTTGAAGTTAGGAGATTGTAGTTTATTTGGCTTTTTCTCTGTGTTACGATGGGAGCAAAGTTCTTTCCAGCTTTCTGTATTCTAGACAGAAGCAGAAATCTGTATTTTGTTTTTGCTAAAGTGGCAGATACATTTAGAAGCACAAATTATTAACACTGCATACACCACTGCTTCCCAGCTAACAAAATATTAGCAAGTCTCACATACTATTTTCAGGGATAATAAACTCATTACTCTAGGTACAATATATATCCTAGCAATTTCCAGGAAAGATGAATAGATGCAAGCTGAGACTGTAATGTTAATTTTTTATATGTGATTTATGGTCTCATTTATTAAATAGAAAATCCCTTATAATACTCGGCTTATATTTTTCTTACAGGAATTTGACTCATGTCTCTCAGATACTTAACTAGTGATCCTCTTAGCACTGTAAGAGTATGAATAGCAGGTAGAAAGTCTGATGAGCACCTTTGGCAGAGCTCCTTGATCACCTCTGGCTGCCTGCTAGATGGTGGGAATGAGAGATAAGTTTTGATCTCTTCTAACCTAGATTGTCTGTCCTAATTCTTCACATCAAGGTTTTCTACAGAAGACTTTCTAATTGTTACAGATACCTCTGTGACTGTTTGACCAAGTTGTCATTGAGAAGGAAGCTATTGTAGTTTGCTTCTGGAGAAGGCTTATTTAATATATGAATGTGATATGCATGGGCTTCCCTGGTAGCTCCTGCAGTGCAGGAGACCCTGGTTCAATTCCTGGTTTGGGAAGTTCCCCTGGAGAAGGGATAGGCTGCCTACTCCAGTATTCTTGGGCTTCCCTGGTGGCTCAGATGGTAAAGAATCTGCCTGCAATGTCGGGAGACCTGAGTTTGATCCCTGGGTTGGGAAGGTCCCCTGGAGGAGGGCATGGCAACCCCCTCCAGTATTCTTGCCTGGAGAATCCTCATGGACAGAGGAGCCTGGTGGGGTGCAGTCCATGGGTTCGCAAAGAGTCAGACACGACTGAACAACTAAGCAGAGCACAGTATGATATGTGTATCAGCTTAACTACGGTTGGGGAGGGAAGGTCGAAAACAAGCTAAAGTATATGCTTTAATCATGATGGATCCGAAGTATTTTTGTAGGTAGGAAGCAGTCCATTTCCCTGGTGACAGTGCTGAGAATGAGCTTAGACATACCTGCATTGATAATACAAATCCATCTGTTTATATCCATCAGTGTGCCAGAGTTGAAGCAGAATTTTTACAATGTAGAAAAGCACCTGAAGGATTTGGTTAAGTGTTAAAACTTTTTGTTTATTTTGCCTTGATTTTTTTTTTTTAGGTTGTAAATATTTTCGTTATGTATCAAAGCAAGATCATCAAGTGTTAAAGAAGAAAATGAAGCAGATGAAGAAATCAGTGAAAAAATACAGCATTGTAAATTCAGGACTCTGATACTGAATTTTAGTTATTTCAGATTAGTAGCTACAGAGTAGTAATTCAGTGATAGTTTTAAGTGTATTTATTTATTTGGTATTTTAAGGAAGTAGTTTATTTGACTACAAAAAGTTTGTATATTTTTTTATATATTTTTTTACTATCAGTTATAGCTAGAGGAAGAGTCTCATTTGTTCTTTGTAAATACATTTTTCCCTTTTGTACTGTTAAATGTTACATTAAGTAATAATTCAAATAAAAATATATTTGTTTAATCTGAGAATGTAGCACTTACAGCAGTTACTGCAGTTTGCAGCTAATTTGCCTCTGACAATTGTGTAATAAAATATAACTTGTGGGACTATTAAATGAACTTGTATTCTTCTAGATGTTAAATGATCCACGTTAGGTTGAACACCATGAAGAATATATTGGTGATCACTTCTGTTGAGGAAACAGAAGAATTTAGAAGAGGACTCCTCCCCTTTCTCTTTTGGTAATGAGACATGGCAGTGTGGGGCTAAGTGACCTCTGGTAGAGAGGGACCTTTGACTCTAGAGGACTCGTTTGGGCCAGAGAGGGTAGAAGGTCTGCTTGCTTTCAGCTGGCACTGGCCTGACTTTAAAGGACTCCAGCTCTGTTGGGCCACTTGTTTCCCTGGCACAGCAGTCAGACATGCTCTAGAACTCCTGTGTCCCTCTGCTTTCTCTTAGAGACCAGCTGCAGCAGTGGATGGCTGGACAGTGGAGAAATAGTGTGTGAGCATCATACAGGAAGCCCAATGGGGAAGATTCGCTCAGATGCCAAGAACGACTTTCCTGGAATATGAGTGTTTTATAACACATTGTAATAATCGTTGGAGTAAGTGCTTCTTCAAAACTGTCTTGGCTCATGTACATTTACTGTTCAGATAACTAGTATTTGAGTTCCTCGAAGGCTCCCTAACCTCAGGGCAAGTCCAATATTCAGATGGCTTATGTGTGTGATCATATACTCAAAGTCCTGTTTTCTGCTGCTATTTCCTCACTAAGCTTGAAAGCGAAAGTATTAGTCTCTCAATTGTGTCTGACTCTTTGTGACCCTATAGACTGTAGCCCACCAGGCTCTTCTGTCCATGGGACTTCCCAGGTGAGAATACTGGAGTGGGTTGCCATTTCCTTCTCCAGGGGATCTTCCTGACCCAGGGATTGAACCCCGGCTCTCCTGCATTGCAGACAGATTCCTTATCATTTAAGCCACCATGGAAGCCCACTATTGGCTTATATTCCTACTAATTTCAAACCGTCCATGAGAAAATTAGGAGACAAATTACACTTTGTCAGTAATTTAACTTGATATTTTATACTTCATAAATGACCATCAACAAATAACTACCCAACCTTATACTATATATGTCAGACAAGCAGGTGCCCAACAGAACCAAAGTAAAGCAAGTGAAAGCTACCAGTGACCCTGGTTGGCTTTACCACTGGGAGGCCATGCTTGGGTGGTACAGGACTTCCATATAAGATTAACCCTATAGGGATGTCCACATCCCATCTACTCCCTGATACCTTTAGTCAAAAGCTCTGAAATAGGATTTATGAATTCTCCTGATCTCTAGCAGGATGGAGGTGAGAATGAAAGAGAAATGAGTACATATGGTTATCAAATGTTTGTATCTCATTATGCAATGAGAGCAGTGTGAATCAACTGAAAATTTCTTAAGCCCACTAAAAGCCAGTTTCATGAATAATAATGGCTAAAGTTTATCAAGCACTTTGGGCTTCATATTTTATCATCTCATCACTGTGAGATGATCCTATGAACTATCTTCTATCTTACCAAGAAGGAAAGTGGGGTAGTCAGAGATTAAGTAACTCACCCAAGGTCACAGCTAGTAGGTGTTGGCATCAGGACTCTAAATCAATCAGCGTAGTTCCAAAGATCACAGACTACCTGTGGTATGTGTACCACCTACCAGGTTAGTCAGTGTTTATAGTCACCTGCAGAGCCCTGAGCTAGGGATCGGGGAAAAGAATACAGGGGAACCATCGCCTTTCCCGTCTCCTGGGCATGGAAGGTTCCCTCTCTGTCCTCACCAATCCCTCCCCTGCAGCCTCTTGTCAGGTCACCGCATTGTTTAATGATCTTTGTACATCTGTCGTTCTCAGTAGTATGTTATCTGGGCTTCCCTGGTGGTTCAGACAGTAAAGAATCCACCTGCAATGCAGGAGACCTAGGTTTGATCCCTGGGTCTGGAAGATCCCCTGGAGAAGGGAATGGTAACCCACTCCAGTATTCTTGCCTGGGAAATCCCATGGACAGAGAAGCCTGGCAGACTACAGTCCAGGGGTTGCAAAGGCTCGGACATGACTGAGTGATTAACACTCATACTCTCCATATCACCAACACCTAACAGGATTTCTGGCTTATTAAATATTGAATAGAACTGAATGAACACTTATGAAAGTTATTGACTGAGTGTGCCTGTCCCATAGGCAGTAGTATTTTGGTGAATTTCTGCCAAGTAAAGACCTCAAGAGACTGTTAGGTTTGAATCCTGGGTTTATCATAAGCTTTCATAGTTTCTTTACCTATAGAATAGAGACAAGTAAAATTATTGCTATATTTAAAAAAAACCCAACTTTTATACATCATGATGGAGTGAGCAATATCTGGGCTATAACTTGGAACACCTAAATTTTTGTGCCATCTTTTTCCTTCACCTAAAGCATGACCCTAAATGTTTCATGGAATCTGAGACTGAAGTCACTTGTCTGTACATTGGTAATGGAATATCTGCCCTGTTTAACTAATAGAGTTATTGTGAAGATCACCTGAGATGAAGTGAGAAAATGGTTCATACACTATAATACATAATACAAATAAGAGTTATTTATACTTTCCCTAAGCTCAAACACACCTGCTCATTTTCAGATTGTTAGAGAAAGCCGATGCCAGAGAAAGCAGTAAACATTGTATGAGAGGTTACTGAGCTGGAACACTGCTTTTTATGTTGTTTCTATTCTATTCCATGACCTGATTCTGAGATAAACACCAGATTCTTAACCTCATTTTTAAAAGGCACTTGTCTTATGAAACATCATGTGCATGCCAGTGTGTGGGTGCATATATATATTTTATATATATAAAATGATATATTGAAATCCTAACCCTCAGTACCTCAGAATGTGACTTTATTTGGAGGTCGGGTCTTTACAGAGGTAATCAAGTTAAAATAGGATCATTAAAGTGAGCTTTAATCTGACTGATTTCTTCATGAAAAAGGGAAATTTGGACACAGACATGCACAGAGAAAGAAAGTCATGTGAACACAATGACAGAAATCAGGGTGATGTATCTATAAAGAATGTAGAACACTGCTGGTAAACCCTGAAAAGCTAAGGGAGGGGCGTGGGCCAGATTCTCCCTCCTGCCCCTTAGAAGGAACCCACCTTGCCGACACCTTGATCTCAGACTTCCAGTCTCCTGAGCTGTGAAACAATAAATGCTTGTTGTTGAAGACCCCCAGTTTGTGGTACTTTTTATAGCAGCCCTAGCAGACTAATACAGTAATTTTTAGAAAATACCATGTTTGCTTCAAAAGTGAGAGCTAAAGTAATTTCAGATACTTGGTCTGGGCCCAGTCGTGGTTCCAGGTTTATCTCCTAGGCTTACCTCACAGTCAGAAACTGTTGTCCATTCTTCCCCACCTGTACCTTCAATACCCTGCTCAACCTTTATGATTTTTTCCTTCATTCCCTCAAGCCTGATGTCATCTCTTCCTCCTTGGAATCCTCTAGCAGTTTGTTCCTTCCTTATTATCTCAATATAATGCGCCTTGTATTATTTAGACACTTATTTTAACGTTTCTTCTCAGAGAATAAACTTCTTGAAAAAGTTTACTTCATGCATCAGTTTTCTGTTCAACATTCCTCTTCCAGTATAATCCTTTGCACATAATCATAAAAACCTACCGAATTGACACTGAGACATTTGTTATAAAATTAATTACTGCATCATTATTATATAACCAAACATATCATGTAATTATATCTAAAATATTATGCAGTCCCACTTGAAACATTGCATATTTTAATAATCAGAAATTCATGCTGTCATTAATTCTGATGGGACCTGCAAACCAGTCTTTCCCTGCTAATTTTATAATCACTGCCCCAAACAGTAAGATCCAACTTGAACTTACATAGATTTGTGTTTAATTATGTATAAGTTTTTTAATGTTTAGCCATAATTCTGTAAATAGAATCGTTAAAATTATTTTCCAAAAAGGAGGCATTCCTTTGGACTCAATTTTTTTTTCCTGGCAAAAGGAAAACTGACACAAACGTCAGTAAAGAATCAAAAAGTACTCTTAGGTCCTACATGGAATGAGAGAATGCATTCATTCTCGTACATTACAGGGCAGCTGATCCCCTCCCATTTCTGAGAAGGTCTCAGGGCTGTGAATTCACTGGCTGAGGTTGGTCCAAGAGCAGTTCCTCCCACCCAAGGCTTCCCAAGTGATGACATTATCTGACCTTTGAGCAAACAACCCTGTGGAATCAGCACAGTTCCAATGAATTACAGATGCTGTGTTATGTATGTTTTAAAAAGTGACATTCAACAAAGTATGATATTGAGCCATACCCATGGGAGAGCAGGGCTGTGCTGGGGAGTCATTCTAATGAGTCCCTCTTCTTGACTTTTCTCATGGTTATAAAAACATAGTTTAAAAGCTACTCTGGGCTTTCATAATCCAAAGCATCGTGAGCACAGACTTGGCTAGACTGAGGCTCAGTGTCCCTTCTTGGTGATGCTCTGGCAAAGGCTCTTGGTGGTAAAGGGGGTGCCAGGTGGGGAGCCCTCCTCCATCCAGAAGAATCTTTGACTTCATCTGCATTTCAGAGGGCAGTGTTTGCCAGTAAGGACATTTCAGGGTGGAGTGAACTTGTGGAAAAAACCCAAAGGAAAGGGAGCTTAGGTACCAAATGTCTCCTGTGAGCCTCAACTCCTGTTCATGCCTCCATTTGGGG